CAATTTCTCTAGAAATGCAAAAAGAAAAACAAACTTTAAGGTTATTCACATAGTTTTTGCTTGTGGTAGGCATTTTGCGCTGACATGAGAGTAACACGAAAACCGGAAAGTTTTATTATTTGTTATTTTTTTGTGAAATTACAGTTTTTATTCGTTTACTCTTTTTGTTTAATTTGTTTTGTTATTGTTATTTGTAGGTCATGATTCAAACTAAAATTTTCAAATTACATTTGGCCTGTTCCCGTACTGCAAGAATCTACAACTTTTTACTACGATAACGAATTTTCCTTTATTTAGGATATCGATGAAAATATTAAAATTTAGTAGATCCCTGCAATACGGGAACCAATTATTAAAAAAAGAATTTGGAATACATATGTATTTCTACAATTTCTATAATGTTTGGAATTGGATATATGATAAAACGAGCCATGTTTTTGTATAGCAACCATATAACAATATCGACCCACTTTCGGTACCGTCCCATTCATCTATGCAGAAAATTATGAATATTGTTATTTTCACCGAACCGAAGTATGTGTAGTTTCCGCATCTCCAACCGATGGGGCTGAAATTCGTCATTCCATATTCTTAGAGGTTAAAAATATATTTTTTAATGCAAATAACCTTTCCGCCCGTTTACCGTATTTTAAATGGGTTTAGACGAGAAATTTTACGAAGAGGATGTATATTTCTGGTGGGGTGAAAAACATCGTTGAAGACGTTTTTCTATATGTGATATGACATAGTCCTCATATAGAGAAGGAACTAATAGAGAAGTAAGGACCTAAGGTCCTTATTTTCGGTATTTTGATGGTTTTCAGCAGCATTTTATCACCGAAGTACATGTAAATTGGCATAGCTTTTACCCTGAAGTCCCTAGTCCAGTAGCAGACATATCCTCAGATTTATGACTAAAGAGGCTATATACACTTTGATACAAAAAACATGTGCCTCATCGAAATATTGGCTTCAGACCTTATGTTTCTTTGGACCAAATTCGGTTCAGAAAATTTGAAGCCTATTTAAAATGTCTGACCGATTGGTGCGTACGATAACTCTCGAAGAGAGTAACCGATTCCATCCAAACTTTGCACATCGTAATATTTCTTCCAAACATAGATTGAAGATGGGGAATATCGGTCCACACCTTCTGTTACCTCCTCCACAAAATGGTCAACATTAATTAATAATATCATGCGAACAGACTATTTTCTATTTGAATCAAACTTTACACAACCTTTTATCTTTACCAATCCTGTATGAAATTCGAAGATGGAACCCATTGGTCCACTCTTTTTGGTACCTCACCCACAAATGGTTAACATTTTCAATATTTGTAAATCTAATATCAGACAAATGTAATATCCGCTTTGATCCAAACCTTACAAAACCAAAACCGAAGATGGGACCCATTGGTCGTCCCCTTCTGGTACCTCCCCCACGAAGGGTCAACAATTTGAAAACTAGTAAATCTCATATGGAGCGCACGGTAATGCAGTTACCTTACACAGATCATTCTTAAATATTGGACCCTTTGGTCCACTACTTCTGGTGCCTTCCCCACAAAGGGTTATCATTTTGAAATTTCGTTAATCCAATATCAAGAAAATGGAATGTTTGTTTGGTCTAAAATTTTGAAATAATATTTTTCTAAACCCACATTAAATTCCAAGATGGGGACTTTAGGGCAACCTTATCTGGAACCACTTCAAAAATGCTCAACTCTTTAAAAAATATATATTTTATAAATTGAATAATAAAACCTCCGCAAAGCATAGGCTGGGGGCATATATCTGTTGGCAACAACGACTGACACTTTTTTATTTGTTTTAAGAAGTTTTGAATGCATACCATAGGCAATGGTTAAACAAGTTCGAAGAAATTTTGAATGCATACCATAGGCAATGGGTAAAAAAGTTTGAACCGGCTTTTTTTAAATAATGGATAAAGTGTTTGTGCGGCCTTTTGGCAGATTCCAAAAGGCTTTGCCAAATTCATTACACTACACGTCCCGGCAATCGGATAAAACTATGGCCGACAACTTCCACTCGGGGCTATATTTTCGTTATTTTAGATAAAGAACAAATATTATTGCATTGGTTCATCATCTCCGGTTGCTCCCACACAATCTTGGAAAATTATAAATTTTATAAAAAATAACTTCACCTCGACACTACACAGCTGTTCGGTTTGAGAGCCAAAATAGCACACAAAAGTCAGGATAAGTGTATACTACATATTGCCCAGGTCGAGGGTATATATCTGTCGGGAACATCGGCTGGCACATTTTAATGGTTTCATATCGTTATACTATCTGCGATTTTTGTCTTTTTTGTATTATTTTTTTATTATAAAATTCTAATTTTTAATTCCTCACTTCAAAATCCACACACACACTGTTACACCAACACCCCCACTTACCCTTCTTATGAGCTGTTATGCGATCAATTTTAGCAAACAAATTCCATTTTTCTTCCTCAACTGGTGCTGGTTTTTGCGGCTCCTGAACGGTGAAATCAAAACTATACGTCACTTTGGCCTTGGCTGGTGGCGGTACTTCCAGCTTATAGCCATGTTCATAACGTGGATTTTCTTTTGCTTCGGGGGCCGGTGGTATATTCACCAAATAATTCAACGATTTGGGGCAATCACAATTATCACCACCCGTATAGACAACCTCAATGGGAATGCCATGGAGATTCGATATCTGAAGATGTATTAAAAAGAGGCAATTCTTTATAAATTGTAATTTTGATTTATTTGTTTGCAATGTGAGTGGGCGACTACCAACTTACCATGGCCAATATCAGAGCCACGGTATAACAAATGTTTATCGCGGTCATTGTTGCCCGATTTCTGTAAGCTGACGACTATTCGTTTTACTATTTCGTTTCACTTCGATTTGCCAAGAATTTTATGATAAAACTAATCAGATATTAGTTTGAAAACTCCATTTATATAAACTCGGTATGAATAGTAAAGCTCAGATAGTTATATATTATTGTTATTATTATAGTTGTTTTTGGTTTTTTTGGTTGCATCTTTTTTCGAAATTACAAAATACGTGTCTTTGAACTTGAATATTTTCATGTTCATGGTGTGGTGTTTCTGAAGTCTCTTGAACTTGAGATGCTACCGAATTTAAATTTATTGCATTCAGCCAGCCAAGAGAAAGTTTCAAATGAATAATGAAAATAATTCATTCGGAATTTTGGCTTGTAACATTTTAGTCAGGTAAGCAGACTATAAAATCGCCAGATTATAGAAGACCCGAAGAGCTGATTTTTTTTAAAGAAAAACGAAGACATTTCTTAGAGCGTAGAGGTTAATAGAAGAATAGAAGGGTTTTATTATAAAAGTGTAGAAGGGCTTCTTAAGGATGCCTTGGATGATTTCTTATAGCAGATCAGAAGGTCTTCTGATATTCTGATAGAAGATCCTAAGAACTTCCAATATATAAAATACGATGGTATTCTAATTAAATATCGGAACACATTTTCATAGAAGACCAGTTACACTTCACAAGGCAGTTTAACTTCTCATAGAAAACCAGTAGGATTATCACTTGGTCCTCACATAGAAGACCAGATAGTCTTCTCATGAATTCCAGAAAGTGTCTCATAGAAGTTCATAAAGACTTCTGACAGAAGACACAAAGGTCTTCTCATAGTCTGCTCCAAAAAGTCTTCTCATAGAAATCCAGGAGATGTTTTCCAGCAATTGTTATTCTCATAAAAGTCCAAAAAGTCTACTCATAGCAGTCCAAAAGATTTGTTTTCAGAAGTCTACAGAAGTCCAAAAAGCCTCCTCATAAAAGTCCAGACGATCTTCTTATAAATGTCCAGAAGGTTTTTCATAGAAGACCGGAAAGTCGCTTACCAGAAGTCTAGCAGGTCTTCAGACAATAAGACCAGAAGTTCTTCTCACAGAAGTTCAAAAAGTCTCCTCATAGAAGACCAGAAGGTCTCCTTACAGAAGTCTAACATGTTTTCTCTCAAAAGACCAGAAGTTAATCTCATAGGAGAACTTCTCCCAGAATTCTAGCAAGTCTTCTCATAGAAGTCCAAAAAGTCTACTCCAAAAGACCTTCTCATAGAAAACCAGATAGTCTTCTCACAGAAGCTCAGCAGGTCTTCTCATAGAAGTCCAAAAAGTCTCCTCACAGAAGACCAGGCGGTCTTCTCATGTAAGCCCAAAAAGTCTCCTCATAGAAGTCCAAAAAGTCTACTCCAAAAGGCCTTCTCATAGAAAACCAGATAGTCTTCTCACAGAAGCTCAGCAGGTCTTCTCATAGAAGTCCAAAAAGTCTCCTCACAGAAGACCAGGCGGTCTTCTCATGTAAGCCCAAAAAGTCTCCTCATAGAAGTCCAGAAGTTCTTTTCACAGAAGTCCAGCTAGTCTCCTCATAAAAGTTCAGCAGGTCTTCTCGTAGAAGTCCAGAATGTCCTCTCCCAGAAGTCCATAAAAGTCCGGCAGGTCTTCTAGTAAAAGTCCAAAAAGTCTACTCATAGAAGTCCAGAAAGCCTTCTCATTGAATTGCAGAATTTATTCTCGACCAGATCAGAATATATTCCTATAGAATACCAGAAGATCTTCGCATATGAGACCAGAATGTTGGAATTCTCATAGCATCCATAAAACCTTCTCATAGATTTTAAGAAGTTTTTTTCATAGATGACCAGATGATTTTATTTATTTATTTTTTGTTTTTTGATTTCATTGGACTTCTTAAAGATGAGTGGGTAGTAGATCTTCTCAATAATTACCAGACCAATTGGTCTTTGCCTTGTATTCTCATGAGAACACAAGGCAAGTCATCACTTAGTATATCTCTTAGAAACCAAAAAGATCATATAACCGATCATAGCCTATCGAATTTTCATGAACAGATTACAAACATCGGTATTTTTTTATTAACAACAATTTATAAAACTTAAATTAACTTCGTTACTTAAAAACTAATTCCAACAAATTATAATTTTTTGCCAATCCCAACTTCAATATTCATCATCACATTTTCCTAAATGTCCATGCTTTGCTTTACGATATGGTGCTATGCGACCCGGTTTATAACCACAATCCACCGAAACTTTACCCCGTACAATATGTCGCTCACTTGCACTATTCGACGAAGAGACATACGACGAACGAACCTCTTCAAATGTTGGATTTTTATATTCTTCCGCAACATAACCCAATTGTTTATATGTCAATCGGGGTTGATCATCCTCATCTTCTGCATCTGCGTTACCCGACTCTTCATCTTCCACCTCGGGATATTCATCTTCGATGTGTTTAGCATTTGAAAGGGGCACCTTTTTCTTCAGCGTTATAACTTCACTATTCAGGGCATAGAGATTTTCTTCATTTACCGACGAAATATAGATTTTTGGTAGACCATCGATGGGTTTTTGTACGAAGCCATAGGCTAATTTTGCTTCGGGAACTTCTATGGCTTTGCCAGCTTGTATGGCAAGGCTGACGCTTATTGGATCGGCGGGAGGTGAATCGTCTTTATAGGAGGAGGAGGATACATAACTGGTTCTGAAAGGTATGGGGGAAGGGAAAGGGGGTTTATCGGTTGTTAATTAGAAAATAAAATTTATAACCTACTGTGGCACGTTATATAAACTGGACGAGCTGGAGGAAAATATTGTTGGTCCAGAATAAGAACTGGATGATGATTCTTTACAGCTGCAAAGCGTCTTCTTTTGCTGGAATTGAAGGTCAGAATGAAATTATAATATAAGAATTTAATAAAATAATAATTATGTTTTTATTTCTAATTGGATTATGCGAATCATTTTTAGCGATCATGCCGAATATGATGTGAAGCTCCTTAGCTTTACGATTGCAGTACATAGATTTCATATACCGATGGTCGCTCTCCGCTCGTATTAATCGATTTCTCGATTAATCGTATTATCTCCAAAATATTCTGGAAGGTGTATTAAAGCCTTGCGCGCGCAAACATTTTGGCCGCAGACCTTGAACACGCGTCACGCATTAAGGGGACCCCCCCCATTCTCGGTGTCAAAATTTTTTTTTTTTGATTTAATTCGAATCTACTCTAATTCTAGAATGTCTCTACAAAATTTCAAGTGAAAATCTCAAGAACTCTTAAAGATATAGCCGATTTATTGTGTTAGCATCAAGTGCCGGCTAAAGGGCTTCTCAAACTTTAAACGCGTTTTTCTCAAAACGAATGGCGGGCACGATAACTCAAAAACTAATAATCCAATCGGTTTCAAATTTTGACACGTTTCTCTGGGAGTGTGTAGCTCTCGTATGAACTAGGATAAAGCTAATCGGTGAAGAACTTCCTTATTTTTTAACTTAGTTTGTGGTAAAAAATAGGCGATTTTCCATAAAATTTTTTTCAAAGTTCCGCCATTTTGTTAATTGTTGTGCGAAGTCAATAATCCTAGTTCATACGAGAGCCAGACATGTCCTCTTTCTAAAACAGTTGGAATTTTCGGATGTTCCAGTGAGGAGTTATCATGCCCGCCATCGAAAATATGGACTTTTCTTTGAACCCAAAAAACAACAACAAAACAACAACAACAAATTTTGGTAAATTATTTTTCTTCCTTTTTAAATCTTCAAATACATATGTGCCAAGTTACAAACCTTAACAAGCATTGGTATTCATTTACCAGCCCATTTAAAATCTTAAAAATAAAAAATCGAGAATGGGGGGGGGGGTTCCCTTGATGATTACGATATGAGGTTCTTCGCTTTATTTCCAGCGGACAATGGCCATCAAAATCCGTTGGACTATAGTGTCTGGACTAAAAATATAAAAATACCAAAGTGTCGATCACCTCAAACCCTTCGCCGGGAATGGGCCAATATAGGACAGAGTGTAACGGTTTCATTGGTCGTTAGAAGGTCATTATTCGTGCCAAAGGTGACCAATTCGAACAAATCTAAACTTATTCTAAAATTTGATGCTATTTCCGACATTTTTTGCTTTCATTCAATAAAATTAAAAAAAATTTAAAAATTATGGTGTTTGACTTTGTTGCAGTTTTTTTTTTTATCTCACCTTATAGCCAATGAGGGTATATGCACAAAAATGTGCCTCATAGAAATATTGATTTTAGATCCTATGTTACTTTGCACCAAAAAAGTTTTAGACAATTACGAGTCAGTTAACAAACGTCCGTTCATAAGTCTGGACGACTGTGTGCTCTATAACATCATCCAAACTTTGCAAAAACTTAATCAATTCTGATACCCGTCCCACAAAATGGTCAAAATTTGGCTGGAAATTAATTTTATAATGTCTTGCGAACGGACAATCCGATTTAAACTATATCAAGACCAAAAATGGTACTCATTGGTCCTCTCATTCTGGTACCTCAACATTTTCAATTATTATAAATCCAATATAAGATTAATGAAATCTCCGATTTGATCCAAATTGTGCAAATCGTAAAATTTCTTACAAATTCATAGTATGAACGAATTTGGGGAAAGAACCGACTTTGCCTGCTTCTCGTAACTCCCCATAAAAAATGGTAAAAATTGAGTTGAAAATTAATTTTATAATAAAATGCGAACAGAGCATCCGATTCAAATCAAACTTTGTACAAACTAAAATCCTGTATATTGCTGAGAGATGTGACTTAACAGTTTAGTTCTTCTAGTCCTCCCCCAACGATGGGTCAAAATTTTGAAAATTTTTAAATCCAATAACAATGGTATGAAATGTTCGATTAAAATTTAATTACATTTGGAAGATGGAACTCATCTGTCCACTCCTTGTGGTACCTCCCACACAAAATAATCAAATGTTTGCAGGGCATTATCATGCGAACGGACTATTCGATTTGAATTAAACTTTTCACAACCTAACACTTGACCAACACATGATCCACCTTCGGTGAGCAGAGCTGAATGCTAACGGACACATCCACAGATTGCGGATAGTGGGAAGCCCAATACTATTCATTGGGTAACTGTGAAGAACAAATAAACAGTCGCGGACAATCAGGGGGAGAGTCTCTTAAAGTGACCCCCCAACGCTGGGATGTCATGCGACCTCGTGCCCATCAGTGTTCCACTGTTTGTAGTCAGGGTCCTGACTATATTACAACGGAGCCTTTTTGATACTTGGGCGCCTCAAAAAGATCATTCAGGCATAGTTGTCAAGTCCTTGACATGGTAAGAGGCTATGCCATGGTCGACCTCAATCCCTCACCAAAATCATATTCTATGGAGCCTTCCCCACACTTCTAAAATTAAAAAAGAAATTGTTTGCGATCGACTGGTGCTGGTGTGCCTTGGCACCCTCACTCTCGAACTCTACAAGGTCAGACTTCAATGTTAACCCAAGCTAATCCTCTGAATCTCTCTTTTGCTTCAAGTCCTGTTGTTCTCGACAACGTGAATGAAAGCCTAGAGACGGATAATCTCCCCAAATTATTAGAGGAAACTGGCTCCTGTCGAAGCGGAGACTGGGATCGATGAGACTCCTGTCGTTAAGATGAATGAATCATCAGTACCAGGAACTGCAAGGCAAGTCAACGCCAAGGAGATCGCTGCCAAGAAGATGTACCAAAACATATACCTTATATAAAGAGAATAATAAAATGTGTATTTTATTCCGTAGACCTCCGCAAACCAATAGGCTGAAGGCATATATCTGTCGGCAAACCCGACTGACAATTTTTACTTGATTTAGTACGATTGTTTTCTCCTTGCAGCAATTTACTGATTTTTCGCATTTCTTTATGAAGTCTTCTGCTTTTTCTATACAATGGAAAGGCATTTGATCTTCCACGCGGTGGTTGAGGGTATTATGACTTCGTGCATATGTTCGTTGGAAACAAAATTCAAGTCACATTTATGGGATGGAATTTATCAAAGCTCATTTGTCTGGTTCTCAAGTACGAGCCCTATTGAAAGCATCATGGTTTATCTGATTGTTACGAAATTTCGTACAGATGCGAGAGCAGTTCGGAAACTGTCCTAGCACAAAAAGCGCGGTATAAACAGAAAAAAGTTAAGGGTTTTGTAAACGTCCACGTGCGTGCTTTCATTGTAAAAGAAGCGGATGCGTCTTTTTTGAACACATGTTTCTATATGAAGGAATTGCCAGATCGAAACAAAATTTATTATGTGTTAATAACGGAGGTTCCCGAATATGACCAGTTGACTTCAAATCTTTAGATTTACAAGTGACATGTCTAAAATAGATTGAACTTTTTTCATATATAGTTATATTTGGAGTAGTCTATATTTTGTTGTTGAATCGCTCTTGACCCTTTGGACTAGATGCTCGTATACAAAAATGAATTGAAATTGAAAAAAGTTATTAAATTTTGTCCGATTTCATGAATCGCCATCAAAGTTGGTACGTCTGACCTATCGACCCTTCCGACTTTTGCCCTTTCCTAACTGCTTTTCTTTAGTATATTTCCTATTTTTCCCATTTTTAAACATTAATTTCCCACGTATATCTACCATTAAAGTCCGAATAACTTCGCTATGTGTGATTTGACTTATTGATAGTATGTCAATACCTTCCCAAACCTATTTTAAAGGACAGCAGATTTTTAAATGTCGGTATAGATTTGTTTTCCATTTGAAATTTAGTGTGGAACTATATTGGAAGTGTGCGAAAATATGTCATAGTCATGTTTGCTTTTTTCACCCAGCAATGTGCTTTATACCACCATGTGAAGAACACGCATATCCATTAATCCAAATATACGATGTAATCTCAAGTGCAATGTAATATAATTTATACGTGTTTCTGTTCAGAGTTTAACAAATTTGTCATACTACGTAATTAGTATTCGGTTTAAATTTTAATTTATTGCGTTTTTTTATTTACTTACCACCGCTTTGATTTTCGGCAACACGGCTGGTTCGATTAATTTTTTCGTACACCAACATTTATCACCGATCGGTGCCACATTTAATTCTTTGCTTTCGAAATGCCGATGTTTGGGTCTCACGGCACGTGGTCCATCACAACCCGAACAGTAGTCAGTGCCTTTTTCGCCGCAAACACATCCTGCGTCTATCTGAATGACACAATTTTTTAGTTAAAACTTTACGTACATTATTTTAAAGATGCGAATAAGACTGCGCGGAGTGCATTGATGAGCAATGCCAGAGAATGTCACTAATATCCGCAATGCCGCAGGACATAACTTATTTTGCCTTAGAGAATGTTAAATGCATCACGCAATCCTTTTCGCATTATAAGTTTCATAAAAATCACAAAATCTACCTTCGACGGTAAGAGTAACGCCACACAACACCAGAGTGTAACAGACACCATCCACTTGTGGGTCAGCAGCAGCATCATCCTTATCCTGCGCTTGTAATTTCAGAATATTCTCAAATTTGTTCCCGTCACTAGCTCACTTACTTACCACACTCAATGATCACTTGTTTCTGACAAATGCTGAAATTCGATCCACAAACCAATGGTCATCCATCTAGAAAAACGAAAAAATAATTCTGAAACGAAGTCGTTTTTATCATCCAGAGAATTCGTGCATTTGCTCATACATGCAAGTTTGTCTGCCTGACAGACAGCTATAACATTAGATAATATTTTCCGGTCGCTTTCGTCTTCGACTTCGATGATGCTCCGTGTTTTTGCAGAGTTTGCATTTGGGTTGTGAATAATTTCAAGAATTTCTAAGAAGTAATGACAGATTATTAACCAAAAAAAATCGAAACGAAAAAGAAAACAACAAATGGGTTCGATTATACACCAACGCTGGCTGGGAGTTTGAATGGTCAATGTCTTAGGTATTGTTAACATCATACATACACATGTACATTCGGATGTTTTCCATCCATCCATTCATGAAGATAAATGTCACCATCAACATGTAAATATTGTGGGTGGGAAGAGGTAAAGTGTATGTATTGAAAATAGGCTTACGATTGGTGTTTAATTAAGTGGGTAGTAAATTATTTAGAACAATTCTATTATGCTCTCTGTCATTGTTAAATCCCTCCTTAATGGTTTCGATTTATCCCGTTTATTTTAGACACTGCTACCAAAAATGGGTAACACATTGATGAGCAAAAAAAAAAAATATATAGATAATTTGTATTATCCACCGCACAATGGTTCAGAAATTGATTTTCCAAAACCAATTTTTTCGTCACTGAATTTTAATTATTACACATACTATATACAAAATTAGTAAACAATATTGGAATTAGTTAATATATTGAAAATATATACAAACTAGCGGGCCCGGCAAACGTTGTCTTGCATAGCATAATTGTTGATGTATAATTCACAAATATAATTCAAGATAGCCCAATAATAAGCTATACTCCACCATTTAAGATAGTTCTCTGAAATTTGCACATACATTGCTACTACACCTACGATATTTGGTATTGAAAATGTTCAATATTAGTTCACTATTTACGGTATCCCCATATAACGGTACTTCGCAGTATGAGAAATTGTAACGATTTTTTCAACAGAATTGGTTGTAAGTAAGCAGAAAGTGTCCGTACCGAATATTATCAATATTGGCACATGTTTTGGGGTATAATCTTGGGCACGGTTTTCAACCGCATTGCTTTTAATTTAATGTAAGGGATAGTTCTTGAGCAGAAAATCTCTCTACTTGAAATTATCAATATTGGCCCAAGTATATTTGTTATTTGGCTGTAATTTTATATTTTGGATGATCATCGAGTAGAAAATTTTCCTAACAAAATTTGGCCAAGCTTCCGAAAAGCCTCTATATAATGACACTCCACATTATACGATCCTTTGGGGATTTGGACACGTTTTTCAACCTAATCAGCTGTAATTGGTTGTTTTTATTTGGTGGCATGAATCCTACTAAAATTGTCAATATCAGTTCACTCTTCTGTATTTTGAGGTAATTGACATGTTCAATACGAATAGGTAACATCGGACGGAGGTTTTGGTAAAACCTTCAAATTAGATAATATGTCTTGGATATTTTTTCTAATATTGCAGATTTGTTGTTAGTTGTTCTCTTTCCAGCTGAGCTCAATGATAGATTTTTGCACATTTTTTGGTATCGGATATATGCGAAGGGTTCTGTTTATAAGTTGAAAGATATTGAAAAACGATTAGGCTTATAACCAAATGATTTGATATTTCGAGTGGCATATCAACATTTCAGGTACTTTAAGGAACAGTATGTTCCTATTATTATTACTTTCAAACAAATTAATCCAGGGCATGGATCTTAGAATCCTTCATATCCTGAATGGACACGAACTTGATTCAGAATGTCTTCTGATTTTCCATCCTTGCATTAGTCCTAAAATGTACGTGCATTCTATGGAAAACGTGTACATACAATGATCGCGTGTACTTCTCAATTATTTGTTGTATTCTCCAATTGAAAAAAGAAAATAAATATTTTGAAAATTTTCAATAATTGACAAATGTAGGCTTAACGAATGAAACGCTACCGATTTTCGCCAAAAATATCTCAAAATAACAACAAGAACGTGGTGCAATCCAAATAGCTCGATACTAAATCCGCGAAAATGCGAATATGTTGCAAAATACTTTTTGCAAATTTTTCGCGGTTTTTGACTTTTTCTCGCCTTTTAAACCTTCCCTGGAGCTCCACGAACATTTCAAGACTGCGATAAGAAAAACCCGTTCAGCCGTTCTCGAGTTTTAGCGAGACTAACGAACAGCAATTCATTTTTATATATCGACGCCTATAAACCATAGTATGGTAAGTCGATTTAGCATGTTTTAAAGTTCTTTACGTTTTTAGATACTACGTCCTTAATTTAAATTCTGTGAAATTTTGGTAATCATCGGCCAATCCAAACCAAAGTTATAAGCAAAAATGTACTTAGCATGGCACGTAAGATATAAGAAACTTCCATACTTTGAGAGCTTCTACCGAAAAACTTACTTTTCAGACTTAGCATACTGTTCTTTGGAGGCGTCGATATATAGATAGAAGATAGATAGATATTAAGATATTGGAAAGTTTGAAGTGCTCTAAAACGAGTTTTTCCATAATAAGTACACAATTGCTGAAAATTTCCGGAATAGAAATAGTTATCTCAGAAACAACAAAATGTAATGCATTAATTTCGTTAGATTTTAAAGAATTACCGACGCGTTCCTCTTAGAGTTCTGCCATGCCCGTCTGTCACAATAGATAGAGGAACTTCGGGTAATGACGACTACCAATTATTTTTAATATTGTCGCATTGTGGGCCAGAGATCATTATTTTGGCAATATAAGGGCAGTGGGTTTTTGAAATAAATAAATTCCACATATAAAGGTTTCGGGGCGCTGATTACGATTCTGCAAAAAAGTAAAACAATTGGGTTCCTGACCTATAACGTTTTAAAAAAGTAAAAAAACACGTTGTGGATTGCCTGTTATAAATTTCTATTTATTTAAATCTTGGTTATCAATAAATGCAAAAATATATGGGCCCTGGTTTTGGAATAATCACCGTTTAAGGGTACCGCCCCATTTGTGGTATTTTGAAGCTCTATCTTCATTATCCAACCAAAGCTGCAATTTCGCATATCAATTTTTCAGAGGGTTAATACCTCTTCGCAGATTTTTTGAAAAGGTCTCGCCTTTTTATAGTGGTCCACATTACCCGAATAGCTCCCGTATAAGGGTACCCTCTAATTTTCGGTATTTTGGAGTACTTGAGCGTGTTTTTTGACTGAATTCGCTGAAATTTGGTACGTTGGGTTCTTATTAGGAACTAAATTTCTCCACAAAAAATTATAAATATAGGTCTACGTTTTCTGCTGGCCTCCATATAACGTTACCTCCTAATTGCAGTATTTTGGGGTTTTTTTGCACCGAATTGGCTGTAATTTAGTATTTGGAATTCTTAATAGGCAACAAATCTCTCCACAAAAAATTATGAATATAGGTCCATTTTTTCGGATAACCTCCATATAAGGGTACCCCCAACTTTCGGTATTTTGGGGTTCTTAAGCGGGGGTTTCAACCGAATTCGCTGCAATTTGGTAGTCGTATAACAAATTATTAATATTCGCCCCTTTTTTTGGGGACTACACCAAAATATATAAACCTCTTTTTTATATTAAAATTTTCATCTGATTTGTTCTGCGTTGTGGGTTTGGTTCTAAGACTCTGTTGTAATCATTTCACCTGCGGAGGATATCGAGATAAAAGAAAACTAGAACGTAAGGTTCGATAATGAACTATATATGAACTATAGACCGCATTTAATCCTAACCCTAGCCCCTGTATGGGAGGTACCGGAAGGAGTGGGCCGATATTCCCCATCTTCGAACTTGAACTATGTTTGGAAGAAATAATAAGATGGGCAAAGTTTTGATGAAATCCATATTTTCTAAAACGAATTTGGTCGAAAGAAACATGGGGTCTAGAACCAATATTTCGATGAGGCACATTTTCACCGTGTCAAAGGGTATACGCCCTCATAAGCCATAAGGCTGAGGGATAATTATTAATATAATTATAGTTATTTATTAAAAATTTCTGAAATTTGTGGTTAAAAATAGGCGATTTTCCAAAAAAAAAGAAAAAACTTTTTTCAAATGTCCGTCATTTTGTTAGTTTTTCAATAATCCTAGTTCATACGAGAGCCAGACATGTACTCTTTCTCTTTCAAAAATAAGAAATTTTCTTCAATCACAGAAAACAACAACAAAATTATTTTAATTTCAAAATCGAGAATGGGGGAGTTTACCTTAAAGCTAATTGAATAACCGATTTGATCAACATAAAATTCGAAACCCCTTTCATTCCGAAAATTCTGGCAAACCCTAATCTGAGGGTGTGTATCTGTCCGCAACATAGACTGACTTTCATACTTGTTGTATAATATGTTAACCCTCAATCAAAAATCTGGGGACTTCCTTTTTGGTCCTGTTGAGAAATGATTGAAAACTCATTTAAAATGGGATAAATTAGCAGATCAGAATATTCTTCAAAAATGTTCGCCATAAATTTTCACTAAAACTCTCAGAATAGATCAAAACTCACGTCAAAAATCCTAAAAATATGAAAACTAATTTTAGGGTTAAAATCGACCTTATTCCGATTTTGTATACATTTTTCACACTAAATATCGTTTTAGAACGATGGTACCAAAGACAAAAATATTCTCCATGAAATTTAGTATAAGCCTCTGAACAAGAGAAATCTGTATATGAGGGTAGTTCGGAAAGTTCTTAGCCTAGCGTAAAAAGCACGGCGTTTTGGAAACTTCCATCTCTGTTATGAACACATGTTACATTTTATTTCGATCTGGCAACTCCTTCATATAGAAACAGGTGTTCAAAAAATTGCGGATGCGTCCGTTTTTCTATGAAGGTGTTGCGAGATCGAAACAAAATTTAACATATGTTCATAACAGAGATGGAAGTTTCCAAACCACTTCACTTTTTTCTGTTTATACTGCGCATTTTGTGCTAGGCTAAGACCTTTCCGAACTGCCCTTTTTCCAAATAAATTGGAAGAAAACAGTAATTTTTACAGAGGCCTTGACCTCCTGGTCACTAAAGAAAGGTCACAGAAACGCAAAGTTAGGAGTCCGCACCTTGAATTATTTTGAATTTAATATTCTTCATTGATAACAAATAAAGTAATCAATTATTAGTAACTTATGAAAGTACATTTTATGAATCCGAAACACCTTGACATTTGTTGGATTTTTATAGACACTTTCACCATGTTAACTAATTTCCAAATTCGCTTATTGAAGTATTTTTGTGCTCAGCATGAAACTCGACTGTCACTGCAATTTCCATGAGACTTTTTTCCGCACCGAGACCCTGCAATGACCTACAAATTTAACTCATGTAAGAAACAGTTATAACCGGCATTGTCGCAGAACGTCAACGAAATTCGGCAATTTTGCGGAATTGACGTAAACAAAGCTCAAGAAAAAGTAAACATAAACATTTTTTTGCTCACAAACACACACACACATTCACACACCTTATTAAAATTGTTTTGATTTTTTTGTTTGCTTTTAGTTTTTGATGACCCGTTTAATTTCGAATATTTCCGCATATTTGTTCCATTTTTTGTTGATTGCTCCAATTTCTTTTTCAAATTTAGGTCATACCGAAGTGCGGTTTCGGGGTGATCCCATTTCTTAATTGGTGTCAATGCAAAAATATCAAAAGAAGACCCCCGCGCGAAATGAATTGAACCTCACGCCACATCTAAAGTCTGGGCAGAAACTGCGGCTGCTGAATTTGCCATCGACAATTATTTGTCGCTTGAAGTGCGGTGTGTGTACGCGTTAATGTGTTATCAGAATATTATCTGATTCATTTGCGGCACACACAGAGAAACAATACGACTTATTTACTAACTTCCAATACTTTCAGCTAAGCCATGACGAAACATATCTAAATCGGGCTAAGTGTGCTGAATAGAGTTTTCTATAGGAAAACTTCTATTTAGCCTGGCTGAATAGAGTTTTCTATAGGAAAACTTCTATTTAGCCTGGCTGAATAGAGTTTTCTATAGGAAAACTTCTATTTAGCCTGGCTGAATAGAGTTTTCTATAGGAAAACTTCTATTTAGCCTGGCTGAATAGAGTTTTCTATAGGAAAACTTCTATTTAGCCTGGCTGAATAGAGTTTTCTATAGGAAAACTTCTATTTAGCCTGGCTGAATAGAGTTTTCTATAGGAAAACTTCTATTTAGCCTGGCTGAATAGAGTTTTCTATAGGAAAACTTCTATTTAGCCTGGCTGAATAGAGTTTTCTATAGGAAAACTTCTATTTAGCCTGGCTGAATAGAGTTTTCTATAGGAAAACTTCTATTCAGCCTGGCTGAATAGAGTTTTCTATAGGAAAACTTCTATTTAGTCTGGCTGAATAGAGTTTTCTATAGGAAAACTTCTATTTAGCCTGGCTGAATAGAGTTTTCTATAGGAAAACTTCTATTTAGCCTGGCTGAATAGAGTTTTCTATAGGAAAACTTCTATTTAGCCTGGCTGAATAGAGTTTTCTATAGGAAAACTTCTTTTTAGCCTGGCTGAATAGAGTTTTCTATAGGAAAACTTCTATTTAGCCTGGCTGAATAGAGTTTTCTATAGGAAAACTTCTATTTAGCCTGGCTGAATAGAGTTCTCTATAGGAAAACTTCTATTTAGCCTGGCTGAATAGAGTTTTCTATAGGAAAACTTCTATTTAGCCTGGCTGAATAGAGTTTTCTATAGGAAAACTTCTATTTAGCCTAGCTGAATAGAGTTTTCTATAGGAAAACTTCTATTTAGCCTAGCTGAATAGAGTTTTTTATAGGAAAACTTCTATTTAGCCTGGCTGAATAGAGTTTTCTATAGGAAAACTTATATTCAGCCTGGCTGAATAGAGTTTTCTATAAGAAAACTGATATTCAGCCTGGCTGAATAGAGTTTTCTATAAGAAAACTGATATTCAGCCTGGCTGAATAGAGTTTTCTATAAGAAAACTGATATTCAGCCTGGCTGAATAGAGTTTTCTATAAGAAAACTTCTATTTAGCCCGGCTGAATAGAGTTGACGATAGGAAAACTTCTACTTAGCCCGGCTGAATAGAGTTTTCTATAGGAAAACTTCTACTTAGCCGGGCTGAACAGAGTTGACGATAGGAAAACCTCTATTTAGCCTGGCTGTATAGAGTTGACAATAGGAAAACCTCTATTTAGCCTGGCTGTATAGAGTTGACGATACGAAAACTTCTATTTACCCGGGCTGAATAGAGTTGATGATAAGAAAACTTCTATTTAGCCTGGCTGAATAGAGTTTTCTATACGAAAACTTCTATTTACCCGGGCTGAATAGAGTTGATGATAAGAAAACTTCTATTTAGCCTGGCTGAATAGAGTTGACGATAGGAAAACTTCTATTTAGCCGGGCAGAATGAGTTGACGATAGGAAAACTTCTATTTAGCTGGGCTGAATAGAGTTGACGATAGGAAAACTTCTATTTAGCTGGGCTGAATAGAGTTGACGATAGGAAAACTTCTATTTAGCCGGGCAGAATATAGTTTTTAACAGGAAAATTTCTATATAAAATGGCTGAATTCTGTTTTCTTTAGATAAATTTATGTTCAACTTGGCTAAATATTATTTTCCCTGAAAACGTTCTATTCAGCTGAGTTGAATACAAGTAATATTTGATATAATTCTCCCTTTACCCCCCAGAAATAAAACATATTTTCATTTTTGCTTTCTGTTTCATCAGTATTTTCGTTTTGCTTCAATAATAATTGTAGCAAAATCCAAAGATTACTTAGTAGTTTATTAAATAATTCAAAATCTTCTTCTTCTTCATCATCATTATCAAAATCATCATCATCATTGTCGTTGTGGTTGAAATCGTTATCTCTTCGTAGGTCCATAGTAACAATAGCAAAGTCCGGAAATCTTGAATTAGGCGATGTGTAAATATTATCAGTTGCTAGGCAGCGGTAGCACCCTAGCTTCCGATAATATTTGTACAGTACTCCTCATAAAACATAGGTGTCATAGTAGTCCACATCGTGACCAGAGATGAAGGAGATTTTTTCCAAAATATTGATGAGCTTAAGGGTGGCCTGCTGGGGTTCAACTCTTGGCAATTTCAGCCACTTCTCTTCCTCTTCGCCTGCCATAACATCGGCGACATCGATCACGTTGTTGTTCTCATCGTATTGTGGCTGATGGGTCTTGAGAATACCAGGAGCATAACTCATAACGGTAACATTACGAAGACTTTCATCGGATGCAATGGAACGGAAATACATGTCACGGGCCTTCTTGCAGGAGCACTTCAACGAACTGTAGAACATCGGTTGGATCATAAATTGCGAGTTGATGTTGATCAGCAGCTTGGGGGTATCCTTAAGCGCGGCACACTTGATGAATTCTTGATTTAGGGCAACGGGAGCATACAAATGTTGATTGGCAAAGGCCATCCAGGATTCGGCATCTTGGGGTTCCATTAGCATATGAGTGGCAAAAGTACCTTCGTTGTGTACGATTAAAGCAAATTCGAATTCTCTAAAGCCTCCAGCTTCCTGCTGGGGTAGGCTGAGTACAGTCGCTAGTAAATTGTGGAATAACTTGGAATCGGCATTCTGCCATTCCATTAAATTACAGCAAACAACCTGCAGTCCTTTGGTCGACGTCTCGATTTCTTGACGAACTTCTTGCAGACACTTGTCATCGACATCCATGAGCATGACGAGAGATCCCATTTGGAAACGGCTACACATTTCAATGGCCAAATGTTTGCCCAAGGGATTGGTGACACCACTCAGGATGAAAAGGGATTTTTTCTTCAAGTCCATTCTTTTGGCTGACATTGTTGTTGTTGTTTGTTTTCTTAATTTATTTGTTTAAAGTAAAATTTAATTATTTTTATTTATTTAAAAAAAGGAAATAACTTTTCTTCCACCAAAGACCCGGAGCGTGTTATTCCACTATCGACTGCTGTACTGCACTGAAATGTTTGTCGTTCCCCTGTTTACCAAGAAAACTTTTTCCTCACAATTTTCTTAAGCGGTGTTTGTGTTTGTTTTATGGCTGGTCATATGTAGATCCAAGTTGTTTGGACCAGACTCCTATGTATTTATATGAACGACGAACTTAGTGAAATGTATCATCACCACATCGGGAATTTCTTATCTCTTTTCTGTCTGTCTGCCTATCGATCGGTGTTTTACGCTGTCTGTGCGAATCGAGGTTTGTCAATATTCATTTCATCATGATGATAAGCGCGGGAATCTATCCCAAAGCGGTTCAAATCGATTCAACTAATTTGAACCGCTCACAGGCACAGTGTTTCTATTCGATTGTTAATTCCGGTGAAGAGTCTAAATTTAAATTGAACTGATTTATGCAAACATGAAAAACTATACACAATTCGAAGATCTTTGTAAAAATTCGTTTAAATTAGAGGTCATTCGTTGGTGAGCAATTTACATGACCTCGGACGAAATTATAGAAAAACTATGTCTATATCGGAATTTGTTAATATCAATATGGTATAAGTTATTGAGTTCGCTATGCTATATTTCGAATCAATCTACAACGTTAAACATTTACTAGAGTTAGGTCGAACTAGTTCAATGAAGGTTCGGTTCTTTCGTTCATCTAGTTCCAGTCGTTAATTTTTGCTCTCGTTCACCTTGTTTCTTTCGATCCTGTCGTTCGTCTGATTGAATTAAAACGAACTATGGAACTAAATGAATGGCCTAGATCGAATCGCTTCAGGAACGAGATTGTTTGAGATTATTTGAAAATATATAATTAAAAGTCTCAACAATTTCTATAAGGTTCGTTCTTCGCATAGTCAAGTTCCATAACCTTAGCGTTCTCCTATCAGCTGATCGATCTTAACTAGTGAGTAAACTGTGAGCCACTGTTAAGTCGCTCTTGAACCGTGGAAAAATGGGAAATAGGTATTCAGTCACATTTAACGACGAAACGAAACGAGAGGTGTGCTAATTGTTTTAATCAACAGTTTGAGGGTATCCTCAAGGAGACAGGTCGAAATCCCCCAAGGATTTTTGTTATTCGAAGGGCTAAATCATCTGAAGCTTTGGACACGTACGGAATCTTAATGGTAATGCTGAAACAGTTGGATGATCCCGAAGTCGAGTATCAGAATAAAATCTTTTAGTTTTCGATCTCAAAGGTGTCAGCAAAGGTAAAGGATGCCAGCTTGAACTATGAGAAGGTGTTGAAACCGTTAATCATGTCACGAGATTTGAACACGTCGAGAATACTTGCAATATAAATGGCGCCCAACGTTTTAGAGATCTACGATTTTCGTCGAATGAAGTGTCATAGAACGGGGTTTAAAGTGCTTGACATATCAAAAGTGGTTGATATCGTCAATCGTGCCATGCTGTTTGAAGACGTCGAGAAATTTTGCGATATCGATGGCGCCCAACGTTTTGAAGACAGATTTCAAACGATTTTTGTGGAATGAAGAGTGGATCGAAACTGATTCCAAGTTTGAAGCAATTTTTGTGGACCAGAACTGTATTGAATATTTTGGTACGGAGTTATTTTACCCTCAAAGAATTTGAAATGCCAAATTACCGTCAATTCGTCGGATTCACAGATACGGCTTGGTCCCCGGGCCGCCCCCCTGCGTTCGTCCCTGCAAG